CCTAAAGTATTTCCTTTTCCCCTGTGGAATTAATGAATCTATTTATGTGTGATCTAAAAATAATTTCAATAGTTTTTTAGATATTGAAATAATAACTAAATAAAAATAAAATGAGACGCATTTATCTATATATTAAACAAACCAAAGACAAGTAATATCATGCCCTGTCGACAGAGTTGTAGAACCCTCTGCCTATAAATATTTAATACTCTGTGAAAAGTGCCAATCATTCTTTAATAAAAGTCAAATAGACATGTAATGGACCTAGTGATGATATATAAATATATATATATATATATATATTTTGACAGTATGACATTAGATATGATCAGTAAACAGATATGACAGTATTGCAATACACTGCAGGCTGACTCGCATGTTCACGCATCAATTTATAAAACATACATTCATAAAATTATCTTAAATGTAAATGCAAACAAACATATACTGGTTTATATTCAACAATAAAAGCTTTGCCATTTTTTTCTACTTTTCAATTCCAATCTTTTCATGTTACAACAACAATTTATATATATATATATTTTTTTTTTATTCAGAATTTTATGATTGGTCAAAAAAAAAGCAGCCTGAAAAGAAAAAAATGTCATTACCTAATTGCTTATGTGTTCTCAGGGAACAAAGATATAAATCAGAGCAATCTAAAGCAGCTTGCTTATGAGATGTACTCTTTGCTGGCAGCTGATCAATCAAAAATGTTTCCAGGGTGGGAGCTGGACCGCCTGCCACTTTTTTTTATTTCCTGCAGCACCATCCACAGATAACCCCAAATATCCCTTTATGCTTCCTGAACAGTAATAAAGACCCACCTGCGTCAGAGACAGATCCATATTGTTCTGCAGAAACCGGCGGTGGGGTTTTTTAAACATGAAGAGGCTTTTCTTTGAATGGGATCATAGGCTCATTCTAAAATCTGACAGCTAAGTGGTTGATTAAAATTCATCATGATGACAGCCCCAGGAGGAATAAATAAAGCGGAGAGGAGGTATATATTCCAGAGGCAAACTGATATGTGTGGGGAAAAAAAGCCTAAATAATTGTCTCTTTTTCTTTTAAAATGCAGAAAAAAATAAACAAGGATATTAAATGATGTATATCCATACAAACAAAGTCACATAATGTCTGGTGTTCACCCATCACCTTTTACTCTCTAAAGCTCAGCCAAACCAATAAATCTGAGCCAAACCTAAAATAGCTTCCATTTGCTTTGGTATTCATGATAAACTGTTTAACCACACAGCTCACCTAGATAGTCTTACAGTGTCATTGTTTAAAATAAAGTATGTACAAATGATGGCTCTGGGACTTTATCTTCCCTGAAACTGACCTGCCCTTTATAGTGGCTTGCTGTGTGCATCATAACACAGGTTCTGCAGAAAAGAAATTAAAATGTGTCGTTACAGCTTAAAGAACTTAGGAGAAGACATGTGATTAAATTGCATGAAGCTTAAAAAGAGCGAGCCGCCTGAGCAGATATCTGATGGATAAAAAGAATGACTGCATTCCCATATTTAAATGATTTTTGCTGAGTTTATGGAAAGTTAGCAGCGCTTCTCTACTGGAGCCAGCTTATTTATTGAGAACACAGGCCTTTCAAAAGTATTAATAACCCCTCAGGTTTGAACATTTTGTCTTTTTTTTTTTTTTTTACATATTGCATTATAATTTAGTTGGATTTTCATTTAGAAATCAAGTCAAATTAACATCTAATAGTAAATTAAAACACAAAGTGAGTCATTTGTACTAAGCCCACTTATCTCTGATATCAACAAATAAAACATTATTAACAACTACATGTACATACGTTCTGTGAAAAACATGATTTTTTTTTTTTTTTTTTTTTACAGAATATTAATAAACAATAAGATAAAAAATAAAAGTCACCAGAATGGTTAAGTAAGCAGTTGTGAAGCATTTATGGCGGTATTATGCTGTGGATGCTTTTCTTCAGCAGGGACAGCGACATGGATGTATGGATGCATACAGCTAAACAAAAATGAACCAAACAAGATCACAGAGTATTCAGGTTTGAGAATCACTCAGACAGGCTTCAAGTCCAAATCTGATTAAGGAGTTGAGGTAAAATTTGAAAGTTAACTTTTAGAGATATTTCCCATCCAACCAGATAGAGTTTTAGCTATTAGAGTAATAAATAATTACATAATAAATCAGTTCCCACAGCTCTACAGTTGGTAGATAAACCCTTTAAAACCTCCAGATGTAATCGTAGTAAAGGTGGATCTAGAGAAAGAACGGTTTCAGATAAATACATATGCCTGCTATACTCAATATATAATTAGTGAATTTATTGTGATGTATATTGTCCTACCTCCTTACAAATATAAAATCTATGACATGAAATCCTAATAAACGTTGAAGTCCATGCACATTAAGAGTTGTAAATATGGACAACCTTTCTGTGAGGTCAACATAACATATTATCCTAAGCTCCAAAATTATTGTAATAATGCCATTACCTCAATTTAAAAGTTTTACACATTTATTAAGATATGAGTGAAATAAATGTTCCCGAAAGCAGATGATACATAATTTCTCCTCTTTTATTTTGTGAGGAATGCAGACATGATCTCAGGCTGATTCAGATTTGTGATTGTGACTTAATAATGGCTGATCAATAATTATATCGACACGGAGATCCTAAAGTTAAATAAAGAAGAACCAGCTTAATTCACACCTGGTGAGAAGTTTACAAAATCTACTTCATGAAATGAAGTTCATCAAAATTTTCGATTTCTTAGTTAACTATATAAAATGTTTTTGCTAAAGGTACAAAGGAGGGTTTTTACAAATTTTTGAAAACACTCACCCTCTCCACTTAGAAAAAATTAATGCACAACCCTGTACCTGCTCCCGAGAGGGAATGCCTATTAAACCCGTGTGAGAGTGTGCACAAGCTCATTTCTCCTTGTGCACACTCTGTTTAAAAGTTGTTTGCATCGCTCATACAAGCCTACTTTCCAAAAGAAGATTTGCAATTTTTCCACTATGTCAGACTCACCGCTGGTGTCATGCCAAAAAATACCTGCCTGGCAAGAATTACCTCTCTTCTCACACACTGATGAGAAAACGGGTTGAAATATGAAATAAAAGGAAATATGAAATAGAACTTTTAAACAAATTCTTAATGTTTTGTCAAAAAATGATATAGTATGGTGTTGATAGCCAAAGTGGGAAATGCCACTGTAGCACATCGACTGAAATTTGTCTCCATACAAGTAAAAGTTGTATACATTTTAATTTATCCGTGCACCAAAACTCTGAATTTTAGGGCATCCATGCATAGGAAATATGAAAACAGTTGGACTATGTTTAAAAGTTCCCCTTTCTTTCATATTTCAATCAATTTTCTCATCAGTGGTGTGAGAGAGGAGGTAATTCTCAGAAGCCAGGTATTTTTCAGCGTAACAAGGGTACGTGAAAATGGGGAAGGGCAGGTAGGACGGCCTTATGTAAACATATCACCAGAATGATTGACAATTAGGAGCACCACTCATTCTGATGATCCACCTAGAAAAAGAACATCCCGCACTATAACTTTAAGGAATTAAAGATAGTAGAATAAACAAGTCCACTGCAATTAGGTGCAAAATTTAAATTTATTGTGGATTTATTTAAAGCAAAAACCAAATTATACATGCAGACTCAAGAAAATAAAAACACCTAACTAATATTTAGATAATATTTGTTGTTAAAAGTAAAAACCTGAAAGTGAATGCTGTAAAATCCTTGATTGTGGAAAAGAACAGGTTAAATGCCTCATTGAATGATTATGACCTTCATTCCCAAGATAATGTATATAAAGTTGTGAGCAGAAAATCAGATGTTTTTTAAGCCACATGAAGCAGAAGCAGCAGGATGATGGCTGCCAGGGTTTTAGCCTTGGAGTGAAGTAGATGCTGACTGGACTTGGCTGCGACCGGGCGGGTGAAAATATATGGGTGGTCCTGCAGCCAACCAACAAAAAAGGCAAGAAAAGAAATTATTCTATAACTTAATATGGATAAAATTCACAGTTTTTATAAGTGCTGACTTTTTTTTCCACATTGATTTTACTTAATGACTTGTTTTTCTTATGTTATTTGTTGTTTTCCTGATTCAATACCAGCAGCGGCTCACAAGCTGCTCTAAAGATCATCAAAACACTGCTTAAATATCCAGTGATAGATTTCTGGATTTTCTATTTTTCTTTTTTTTTTTGTTAATAGAGCTCATTTTCAAAAG